TAAGGTCCCAGTAGTTCATTTTTGCTTTTAATTCCCTTGCCTTGAAAAGGGGATTTTAATTTGCTTCAAGGATAATATCAGCTGACACCACAAAGCTGCTAATGCATTTTTAGGCTACAGAAACGTAAGCCCTAGACCTAAGTTAAGGGACCCCAGTTCTGTTTTATTCTACACCAGTACAGATAAACCCGGAGTTGAGTCCTAGATGCACAATATAAGAACAACATTGACAAATTGTAGTATACCTGAAAGGGGGGATTAGGATGGTGAAAGTTTTGAAAATCATGCCAAATGGACTATTAAACACCTGGAGAAAAGAATAGTTAAGAGGAGCAATAAAATTTGACTTCATCATGGGAATCTACCCCCCCAAAACCAAGAGCACACTGTATACACAGTATGTTAGCTAACATGACAATAAATTATATATGTGTGTGTGTGTGTGTGTGTGTGTGTGTGTGTGTATAAATTTGACTTCAAGTCTCTGAATATCTATCAGAAAAGAAATTGGGCCTATTCTGTATAATTGCAGAAAGCTAAACTATGAACATAAGTAGAGCTTTTTTAAAAAAATTGTAATGTTTATTATTTATTTTTGAGAGAGAGAGAGAGGGAGTGATCAAGGGGAGGGGCAGAGAGAGACACACAGAATCCAAAGTAAGTTCCAGGCTCTGAGCTGTCAGCACAGAGCCTGATGCGGGGCTCGAACTCACAAACTGAGATCATGACCCAAGCTGAAGTCGACTGGTTAACTGACTGAGTCATCCAGGCACCCCTGAACATAGTAGAATTTTAAGAAGAGAGATGTCATGGTTATATAGAACACTACCAAAAATGAAAAGGACTGCTTTTTAGGCTTTTGTTTACTGAGGTTTCTAGAACAGAAGCTAGATGACTATTGGACAGAGATTTTGTGAAGAGGGTTCCTATGGGGTAAGCATAGGCTCAAAGAGTTCCTATGGGGTAAGCTTAGGCTCAAAGATCCCTAAGGTCTTCTCTGATGTTGAATATTCTAGATTCCATTAGGAACCTGACTCATTGTGATAAGTTATAACAGGGTGATACCTTTTCAGCCTTTTGGTGCTTTGCTTCTGCACTGAAAGGCCTCACTTAGACTGCTGTGTATTTTTTTGTCCTTATGGTTACTTTTTATAGTTCTCTCATTCTCCTTATTACCAGCTTGTCTCAACTCATTCCTTGTTTTAATGTCATCCCACTTCATTCTAATTTGTTACTTCTAATATGTTGTGGTCTAAGAAAACAGCATAACCAAACTTATTAACATTGCATGAATAATTTAAGTGAACATCTGAAGAGCTCTCCCATGAATAAGGTCTTTAGTGCATGGACTTTTTGCCATCTATTTTAGTTCTTAACAACCCTTTTAGCTTTCTTCCAAATTCCTGGGAGTATTCTAGATTTAATTTGTCAAATATGTGGCTTCTGGAAACTTGTTATTGAAATTTCATAGGTTTTCTAAGCTTCCTACTAATTCATAAAATTAAAAAAGAAAATTCTGAAAACATTACTGAAATTTTATAAAATAATCATAAGCAATGACATACAACTCATTACTGAGCATGATTTTCCTTATTTTTTTTTTTAAATGTTAATGCTTATTTGTTTTGGAGAAAGAGTGCAAGCAGGAGAGGGGCAGAGAGGGAGGGAGTTACAGAACTGAAAGCAGGCTCCAGGCTCTGAGCTGTCAGCACAGAGCCCTACCTAGGGCTCTAATTCACTGAACCTCGTGATCATGACCTGAGCCAAAGTCGAAAGCTTAATGGACTAAGCCACCAGGCACCCCAATTTTTCTTATGTAGTTAAACTTCCCCTGGACAGCTTCTTCAAAATGGAAATAAAATTTATAGCTAGACTGTATAACCAAATGAAATTGATTAGAATGCTAATTACTTTTCTCTCCTGAGCTGCTTTGTATGGAAGGTATTGGTATAAAGGGTACAGGTTCCTTTAGAATATGAGGAATCATTCTGGTTTCATTAGTTTTCTTCTTAGCCCTGTTCTTAGTATATAGCAATAATTTTAACATAACTCAATAAAAAATATTTAATGAAAATTTGTTATATCTAGCAGGTGCCCTCAGTTAAGTATAATGAATATAAGAAAAACACAATCATGTTTTGTATGGACTAAATATGAAAGACTGCTTTGCCATTGTCTTGTTAAAGGGAACAAGAATCAGTTATAGAGCAATCAAGGAAGTATATTTTCAAGGCAGGATTGGTGCATATAGCAAATGTTTCTGAAATTTGTAATGAGAAGTTCTGCCTCAATACAGCAGACTCAGGTTAATGATAAATGTGCTTCTCTTTCTTTCTTTCTTTCTTTCTTTCTTTCTTTCTTTCTTTCTTTCTTTCCTTCCTTCATTTGCTTTGGCTATTAGGTTAATATTGGTGCCACAATGCCTTGACTGTTATAATTTCCTATCATTTATTTGGTAAAAAGAATAATTTAGAGAGGTGTTTCAGTGACTCCAATGGGAGCATAGCCATAAGACGTGAAGAAAGTCCCAACGTTGCCAATATTTGAAAACTCAAAAGGCTTATTTTCTAAAGTGTTATACAAATTGCTGCCCCATACCTTTTGCCACTCCCCAGTATTGGTCAGAAGAATAATTTTAATGCCTCCCAAGTGGATGAAGCTGATCTCATCCCATTTCTTCCTGGGAGATACAAACTTCTTATATATCCCCAGGTGAGTCTTGAAAAATATGTGCATGAGACCCAAATCTGAATTGTCATCATCAGTAACACACAACTGAATGGTCTCTGTAACGTAGTTAATTTTCTGGAAGATATTCAAAGACACAAAATGAACACAGCAATAAAACATGGTTTTCTACTCAACGTTTGCCTAGCCCCCTGGATGTGTGCATAGAATGGTATTTTCATAGTGCTTGCAAATGTCCCAGACTCCAGTGCGATGTAATCTCCTTCCATAAGCAGCAGTCCTGAGCAATCCTATCCACATTTAGCTGCTTCTGGTTGCTGTTAAATTGCTTGCCTTAACTTAATTCACAACGTCGTTTCACACACACCACAACACAGCGTATATGGAGTGAGAGTACTTGGAAAGACCAGTTTTCTCTTTGAATTGCCCTTGCCTCTAGACAAGGATGTTTTAAACTGCCCATTAGCTAATCCTCTGACCCTTTTCTTTTGGCACCTTGAGTTTGAGTTAGAGGGCACATTTTTACATCAAAATGGATACACCTCGGATAAAGCAAGCATTGATTGTTTAGTCGAGATGCCCTCCCCCGCCCCCCAAAGGCAGCAGAGAAGCAGCGAAGGCCACTTAGCAGTTAGTGCGCTCTCCAAAGCCCACAGCCCGGTGCAGGGCTGGTGGGGTTCCCTTCCTGGATCGTGAGACTCCGGGAGAAGGGGTGGCGGAGATGGGGAGTGGAGAGCAGGGTTTGTTTTGCTGGGGGATGTGGGAAGTAGGCGCTAGCCTGTTTCGCGGTTTTTTAAGCCCCTTGGCATGCCCTGACCTGATCAAGAGGGAGTCAACTGCTCTCTGGAATGTTCCGGGAGAAGGTGGGAGACTGCTTCCCAGAAGAGGCCTGTGGGTGCTGGAGGGCACCAGGGGGGTCACGCAGGGAGCTACAGGGAGAGCGCCGGGAGGGGCACGAGGAAGCTGAATGAGGTAAGAACCGAGTGCGGAAATAAGGCGTAAGTGCGGATGAGTCGGTGAGGGGGGGGGGGCGTCTGTTAAATAAGGCAGGGATGAGCTGGTAGGAGGCTGGGCGAAGGCAGCCGTTGGGCCAAGCCCCAGGCAGCAACGGCGGCGAAGCAGGCGGCGGCGGCAACGGCAACTGGCTGCGACCAGCACAAAACTCACCACGCCCGGCGTCAACGGGCTGAGCGCTGCGCGGGGCAGGCAGGAAGGGTGGAGGTGGGCGTGGGGAGGAGGGCTGGCACCGGAGCGCCGCGGTGTCGGTGCAATAAAATCCGCGGAACTGCACCCATGGAGAAGGACGGAACCGAGGCGCAGCAACAAGAGGAGGTGGTAAAAGCGGCGGACGGCCGGGAGGCAGCAGCGGCGGCGGCGGCGGCGGCGAACGGCGGCGGCGGCGGCGGCCGGGAAGAAGTGAATCCCGCAAAGTTCAGCGCCTGCTGCGGGTGCTGAGCCCCGGGCTAGCGGCGGAGGAGCCCGCGGGACCCCGTCCGCAGAAGGGGCAGAACAGCAATATCCAGGCCGGCTATGGTCCGGGGGCTCCCGTCGCCCCCGAGGTGCCCGGGCCCCTCCAGGCCGGTGTGCGAGGGTCACCCTACCGCCTGGCGCGGCCCCGGCCCGGCTCCCAGCCGGCATGACCAGCCGGCGCCCGCCGACCCAGGAGCTCTGGAGGGAGGGGGAAGAAATAAATTTGGTTCATCTTCCTGAGGACTGTTGGCGCTTCATCCCACAGCCGAGAGGGCTCAGCTCCCTCCCGCACCCGCCCGGCCCCGGTCCTCCCTGCTCCTCCCGGCCATGGGGAGCTGCGCGCGGCTGCTGCTGCTCTGGGGCTGCTCCGCGGTGGCCGCAGGTGGGTGGTGACGCTGCAGGGCCCCCACCCTCCTTCCCTCGCTCTTTCTGTTCCCCACTTCGGGACTCGGGGGTGCAGGGTAGTGCGGGCTGGGAGCGCCAAGCTCGGCTCCCGAGGATGAAATGAGTGGCCATGTTCCGCCTCTTTTCCCTGGGTCTCCACAGTTTAAAATACTATTGATTTTTTTGCAACTGCGATACACATGCCCTTGGCTAACCCGATATCCTGGGTACGCCCTGCCGGAGATACCACGGCCTTGGTTTCTTTCTCGGTTTGGGCTTGTAAAAAACTGCCTTTCCACTTTGTGAGGGAACAAAGGACCAAGCTCGCCATCCCCCGGCACTTCATGGCCTGAGGAATGATGGGGAGGGATGGCCCAGCGACCCTGGGCGCGCGTGGGCCGCGGCCGCCCTCTGGGTGAGAGCTAACCCTGAGGTCCCTGGCCTCACGCTGGGCACTAGGGAACCAGGTAGGGACACCTGGGCGGGGTGTGTGCCCTTTCACAGTGGCAGTGGCTGGAACGCACTGAGACGCCGGGCTGGGGAGATAGGTGGTGACTGCCCTGGGTTGAACGGAGCTGGCTGGCCGCCCCTGGGGAATTGGTACCCTGGCTGAGGCTCCGTGGGAGGTCGGAGGCGGGTCTGCTCCTAGTCTCGGTAACTGGATGACCTGCAGAGGCGTCGTCAGAGGCTCTCTCTCCTATTCCCATCCCGGCTTTCCTGGGCTGCCTTTGGCCACCGGTTCCTAGCGCGCCGTTTCTAAATTCGGGAGCCTCTTCCGTTCCTCTCCCTCCCCTGTACGGGTCACCTGGTTTCCAGTTAGGGGTTAGCTCAGCTCAGGGTGTGAGGAGGAAAGAAAGTGAGGGACTCTTCAGCCATCCAGTCTCTCAAACGTTTCTCATTCGCTCTAGAAAGGGGAGTGTGGGCTGGAGGGACCGACTGGTGGGTAGAGAGCATCGGCGCACTTGTACCTTCCCTAAGGCTTCTTCTCCTCTGCCCCCAGAGACGCTGGCACACAGTTAAAAAAAAAAAAAAAAAGTTTTAGAATCTTCACCCCAAATCAGTGTGACTCAGAGGAGCATCCTTGCTATACTTGATTTCTTTAGGGATATCGAAGTATTTTTGTCCACCCAATATCTGGCTCCAATCTTTTCTGTACTTATTAGTTCTGAGGCGTTTAAAAGTATTCAATACTTCCCCGAGGAGCCATTAAAGGTCTAAGGTTTTACTTGAATTCTTACGAGTACAGGAATACGCGTGCACCCCTGCCTGCACTTAACACGTGCTCCCCCGACCACAAAGTGAACTTTATTGAACCTTTCCCTTTTCAAACCATGTTATGGCAAAAACATGCAAGCAATCAAGAGGTTGTAAATAAATATCACAAGGCAAGTGTTTCAAGTCAAAAATACTTGTACGGGCAGTATATGATTTTCCCCGAAATGCTTTACAGGTGAGTCATAGCACACTGTGTGTTTGGGTGATCCTGGCCACAAGCAACTGTTGCCCAGCTAATCAGAACAGTGGCAAGCAGAGTCTAGGCATAATGCACATTTGAATTTGACATTTAAAACATATGCCTAAGGAAGCCCTTTCCTTTGGTTGCAGAGGTTATGTGGGGCTGGTGGTTGTCAGCATGTGAAATGTCTCTGTTTTAGTCTAAGCTGTCAATTGGCTTCTCCAACAGTACAGTGACAATAGTTCGGAGGTGCTCTCTCTTAAGTAGCAGAAACATTCAATTAGCCAGAATTTAGGGTTTAACGTCCTTTTCCTTCTTTCCTTCTCTGTTTTAACTTTTAAAATAGATGATTTTGCTTAAGGTAGTCATAATTAAAATGACAAACCCAAATTAAAGGATTAAAATATGTAGTCAGGATGTTAATAAGTGGATAATGTTTATCATTTTAAGTAATTTTGAAACATTAAAGTCTGTTGGACCTTTGTTTGGGTGGAAGCACATGTTTCTTTAAGAAGGTGTTTTAGTTCACAGATAATGTTTAAAGGTGCTGTTAGTGGCGGCCAGACTGTACGCATTCTCCTGTTAAGCAAACAGGCAACGACTATATAACCTGTCATAGGTTGCAGCACTCAAGAGGCAGAGAGCATGTCAAATAGGCCTTTCTGCCATTTGGCAGTTGAGAGAGGTTTTTTTTCCCTTAGTTATATTTACTAAATATTAAAAATAGATATTATGCATCTGAGCTTCAGTGATGTCTAGCTTTGCTACCCGAAGTGAGATCCCGTTGGATATGGATTAAGTATCTCCTATTGCTTTTCCTAGGGAATTGGCTCCCTCACATTTTTGGCTTAAAAATATAATAGGATTCTATATTTCCTCCTTAATGTCTTCTAATAAGCATGTTAGATAATGCTAAGGACTTAAATTATATTTTAAAGACTAAATTGGGTGATCTTAAACACACTATTGTTTTTTGGTATTATTTAAGTCATGGCTTCAAAACAAAGAAGTGTGTTTCGAATATAGAGAACATTTAGAAAGCAAAGTACTTAAAAGGTTGAGGCCCATTTTTTCCCCCAGTGTTTCCATTTCTCTTCCCTTTGCCCTTTATCTGAAATGATTTTTCCCTTTTATGTGAATTTTATAACCAAACATGAAATGTGTGCACACACACATGCACACTCACATGCTTGTATGTATCAATCCAGAACCGTATCCATGCCCAAATTTGGTAGAATTTCCTCTTTACCAAAAGTCTTAAGCTCTTTGGGGGTAACTTGACTGTCGAAGACAGACTAGGGTGACAGAAGAGCTTTCCAGATGGGTTTGTCTTGAATAACATATGCTTTCCCTTCCCTAGGACTGAGTGGAGTAGCTGGAGTGAGTTCCCGCTGTGAAAAAGCCTGCAACCCTCGGATGGGAAATTTGGCTTTAGGGAGAAAACTCTGGGCAGACACCACCTGCGGTCAGAACGCCACTGAGCTGTACTGCTCCTACAGTGAGAACGCTGATCTGACTTGTCGGCAGCCCAAATGTGACAAATGCAATGCCGCCCAGCCTCACGTGGCTCACCTGCCAGCTGCCATGGCAGACTCATCCTTCAGGTTCCCTCGCACGTGGTGGCAGTCCGCTGAGGATGTGCACAGAGAAAAAATCCAGTTAGACCTGGAAGCCGAATTCTACTTCACTCATCTCATTATGGTGTTCAAGTCCCCCAGGCCAGCAGCCATGGTGCTGGACCGCTCCCAGGACTTTGGGAAGACGTGGAAGCCTTACAAGTACTTTGCAACGAACTGCTCGGCTACATTTGGCTTGGAAGATGATGTTGTCAAGAAGGGAGCGATTTGCACTTCGAGATACTCCAATCCCTTTCCGTGCACTGGAGGAGAGGTAAGAGCACATGTTTAACTCTACACTGTAAGTAAGGTAGAAAAATGTTACCAGCCCACATTTTTTTTAAAGCATGAAGGTATACTTGTAGCAACATGAATGAAATTAGAATTTTTCATGAGCTTTATTTGTCATAAATTATTTCTCACCCTTAGATATGGACGTGTAGTCATTTTCAAGCAGGTTGGCCACTGGCTGGGTTTAAGGTGGAATTCTAAGGTTTTAATTTTTTTTAATTTGAAGAAAGCGTAGACACACAACATCCTCACTTGATCTTAGAGGTTTGAAAGGCTAATAATTTCTTCAGTTAGCGGGTCTACTTACTGTGCTTCTGAAGGGGCAAGAGTTACTGAGACTGCCTGTTCCTGGAGTCCACACATGCTAGTATCTTCCTGTTAACATAAATAGGAAGTAAATAAAAATAAAGCCAAGGGAGAAAAAAAATCTGTTTGTCAGGATACTTTTGTATAACAAGAGTTTTATTGGTAAGATTACAAGAGTGTATAGTAAACAAATGAAGGTAGTTTCTTTTGAGATATAAAAGTTCTTTTTGGACTCAAAACCGTCTCAGTCTCATTTTGCAAAACAGCTTCCTTAGCTACTAGTCCAATTTCTGTATAGAATGTTTTCTCCTTTTTTCATATTTCCCCTTCCCTAAAGGGGAAACAAGTCTTTTTAATAAGATATACCTAGGTATATATGGATATACCTGGGAAGTTTCCCACCCCCGTTCCCCAGAGCATTATGAAAACATTTAGAGAACACTAAGTTAAGTGAAAACAAATTAAGAGCATAAAATACCTTCATGAGATCAAGAAATATTGATTCAGGGGCACCTGGATGGCTTATTCAGTTGAGCATCGACTCTTAACTCTTGATTTCAGTTCAGGGCATGGTCTGTCAGTTCCTGGGTTCTAGCCTCACATTGCACTCTGTGCTGACACTGCCGAACTTGCTTAGGATTCTCCCTCTCCCTCTCTCCCTGCCCATCCCCCCCTTAATTAAAAAAAAAAACAAAAACAAACAAAAAAAAAAACCCCATGATGCTTCGTTTTTTTTAAAAAAAAAGAAAGACATATTGATTCAGAGTGGTGTCTGGCTGGTTCAGTAGGTAGCACTCACTCAGGGTCATGAGTTCAAGCCTCACATTGGGTGTAAAGTTTACTTAAAAACTAAAATTAAAATAAAATAAAATTTAATTTAATTTTTAAAATATTGATTCAGAAAAAAGAGAAGAGAGAATATAATCTTTATAATTCTGGTACATATCATGAACACACAGACTAAATAAGTGGTTCTCAACTAGGGGTGATTTTGCCACTACCACCCCCCCACCAAGCCCCCTCCCAGGGGACATTTGGCAATGTCTGAAGACATTTTTGCTGCAGGGAGGGACACTTACTGGCATGTAGTGGGTGAAGGAAAGGGATGCTGCTACACCTCCTATAGTGCACAAGATAGCACCCCACTCCCACTCCTGACAAAGAATTCTTAGCCCAAAATGTTAATAGCACCAAGGCTGAGGAAGCCTGGACTGGGTGTGAGGCATATGTCCCATGCCTGTAGTACTAATGGCTACAAATACTAAGATAAGCTGCCTTCTAGCAGTCCTTTGTATTACTATTCACAGACTTCCCAGATGATTGCACTTAGTGAACATTTTGTGAGCCCCTACTATGTGCCAGGCACTGTAGTCAGTGCCAGTAATCCTGCCTTTGGTTTGGGGAAAGGGTTGCTTGTGAGGGGCCTAATGAAAAAGCAGGTTTGAGAATTTCTTCTTCCTATTACCATAGACACCTATGGACTTTTGCCTTATTATCCACCTCCTTCTTCTGTGTGCTCCCTGCAGACCAGGCCCCGTGCTGCTGGCAGGGGAACCAAGTGGGATGTGGCACAAATAGCCTACAGACTGTGTTTCATTCTTCTTCTTGGTCTCTAAAGCTGGCTTCATATTGTAAACTCGTGTGCACCCTGTCATGATGGACATTTTTAAAGATACCAGACAGGAAAGAAACAGATAAGTTAGACTCATTGTTTTCTTATGTGGAGAACACTTTGTGTTGCAAACAAATGAATGGCTTTGGAAGTGATCCACATGCTCATATCAGTTCCCTACATCTCAGTGCTACTGGGCCATGTGTACCTAGGAAGTAGCAAAAATACGGTTTCAGTAACCAGATGGCAGGCATGCTTGCTTAGCAAATATCACATTAACCGTATTATAATGGCCCAGCAATTACTTAGCGATGACTAAAGTAACATTTATTTAACTTACAGTGGAAGCAAAATCTTCTTTAAAGCCAAACTACTTATTGTCATCAATGGTTATTACATCAAATTTCAAGCAGAGAGAGACTAAAATTTACGTTAGATATTTCACCTTTGATCTCCAGTTTTAGTCACCTTTATATCCAGTTAAAAATTGGGGGGTCGGGGCACTTGCGTGGCTCATTTGGTTAAGTGTCCAACCTTATTTCAGCTGAAGTCATGATCTCACGGTTCATGGGATCAAGCTGCACATGGGGCTCTGTGCTGACAGCTCAGATCCTGCTTGAGATTCTCTCTCTCTCCCTCTTTCTCTGTCCCTCCTTGGCATGCTCTCTCTTCCTCTCAAAATAAATAAATAAACATTAAAAAACTTCTTAAAGTTGTTTTTCATTGTAGCTGTTATTTCAGCAGACTTGTAATTCAATGGCAAGAAAAAAAATCAAGGACCATCTGGTTCCCCCTAGAGTGTTTTTGCATATATACTCTAAACCATCATAGAATTTCTTCCTTTCAGAGCACAGGTTTGGGAATGAATCTTTGCCTCCTGAGTTAGAGAGTAGAAGAGAGTCTTCTTCAAAGACAAGGATCAGAGGATGCTTGCCTGGGACTGATTACTGCCTACTTCTCCTGTGTTGCTTTGGAATATAAGTTAGTACTGAGCTACAAATTAATTTTGCAGTACAACTCTACATCCCCAATCTCTATCTTTGGAAACTGGCTGATCAGAAAAATAAGCCAATTAACGTGGGGTCAAATAAGTAGTCTTAAATTTCATTTATTGCTTATTTATAATATTATTATAGACCTGGATCTTCCTCCAATCAATATAAGACTTCTGAGGACTTCTCAAGGTATTTTCCTACTACTCAAACTAACATAAATATATCCCAGACTTATTTTTTTCTATTACTCATTCTTCCTTGGGATTTTAGGGCCTTAGACCTGTAGCTTCATGTTTAAGAAGTCAGATACCTCCATCTTTGGAGTTGAAGGCACCAGTCATCTGAAAGAGGGCTGTTAAAAACATAGGCCCCAAAAGCCACCCATAAGAATACTCTTTAATTTAAGTTAAATCAAAGTTAAATCTGCTACACAGCAACTTCCTAAGTTGGTCAGCAGTTACAATGACTGGTTATCTGAAAATGTGTGTCCTTTTCAGGAGAGGAGATTAAGGCTCAGAGGTGATTTACCCAACAACAGTGCATAGTTAGTTATATGGCAGAGGCAGGACTAAATCATGAGTCTTCTGACTGTAAGTCTAGTGTTTGTTCCACAAAACTATGTTTTCTCTTCATTATTGACCCCCAAGAACTGCTTGCAGAGAGATGTGTGCATATCTCTCTTCTCTCGCACTCTCTCACAACCATTTGCTATTCATTTGGATGTGACATGAAGGTTAAAAAGGCATTGCCAAACAGCTTTCTCCTGAGCAGGAATGTCCTCTGAGATGTCAGCAGTGTTTTGGGAATAAAAAGGTTCCATATCTAAACTAGGTTGGGAAACATTGGGGTTAACAAAATTAACATCTATAAATACATAAATGTTCTCATTAATGTTCTGTATCCTCAAGTGGGAAATGTAGGATGTGACATTCCCAAACTTATCTGTCCATGGAACCCTCTTTCTGCAGAACTCCAATTACTAGCTTTTGGAACCCCAGAGATCCACAGAGCACAAGTTGGAAAATGCTGGTTTGGAGGTATTAAGTGCTCCCAAAATCCCGGTAAAAGGCACAGATGGGGGAGATGTTGTTCAAGGGGTACAAAGTTTCAGTTATGCAAGATGAATAAATTCTGGAGATCTACTGTACAGCAACATGACTATAGTTAACAATACTTAGTTGTGTGCTTGTAATTCGCTAAGAGGGTGTATCTTAAGTGTTCTCACCATACACATGCAAAAAAGTGGTAACTGAGGTGATGGGTATGTTAATTAGCTTGAACATGGTGATTATTTCACAATGTATGTGTATATCAAATCATAAAATCATACTTCTTAAATACACACAATTCTCAATTTTCAAATATGCCTTGATAATTTTTAAAAAGGCACAGAGAGGCCTGATGCTTGGCATGGTTTGACATCAAGGCTCTATGTCTATTGGGGGTTTAATCTCCTATTTAGTTGTAGCAGCAGGTAATAATAACATTGAAGCTAAAGATGAGAGGTTGATTAGGCTTTTTTGGGATTCAAAGAAGCAGCCTCAGATCCCCTCTGGGTACAGAAAATGGAGGGAAGTGAGGAGATGTAGCAAGTCATTTTAGGTTCCAAACAATGAGGCCTCTTGGAACTGGAATTTCAGTTATCACTGTTTAGGAAATTCCAAGTGACCCCAAAGTACCTCTCAAGTGATGGAGTTATTATCTCCTTAGAAGTGAGCATTGCTGCCCTCTACTCTTTTAACTTACTGTTAGAAGCGCTCTATTCAAAATTGGATAGCAACCAACCAAGCCACACAAATTTTTTTTTCCTCCAGGGCATTATGATTATAAAACATTCAAAGGGAGGCAGTGGTACAGAGCAGAAGAAGACTGGTGAAGCACTATGGAAGGATTGTGTCAATCTTAC